TGAGGAAAAGACTAAAATTGCTTGGGTCTCATGGGATAAAGTCTGTGAGAGTAAGAGCGATGAGGAACTCGGAATTACGGATGTAAGATTAGTTAATGCTGCCCTATTAGGAAAATGGAGATGGAGGATTCTAGTAGAGAAAGGGGCACCATGGAGAAAAGTCTTAAAGGAAAAATATAATTTAAATAGGAAGAACGAATGGGAGGGCTGTGGGTGGAGCGCAATTAGATAGGACTAGTAGTTTCAGTGACAGGTGGCTAAAAGGGGGCTTGGTGAAGTCTGTTGGGGAGGGCAATTATACTCTCTTTTGGCATAATGTATGGGTCGGGGATAGTGCTCTGAAGGCTAAATACGGTAGGTTGTTTTGCTTGTCATTAGATAAGGACGCTTTAATTTCTGATATGGTTGTGTGGAGGAATGGGGAATGGTGTTGGGAATGGAAGTGGAGAAGTTTATTTGTATGGGAAACCAACCCTTTGCAGGAGCTACAAAATGATTTACAAGGGACAAGGCTTAAGCAAAGGCAGCAGGATAAATGGCCATGGAAATTTGGACCAGATAACACATACACAGCAAGCTCGGTATATAAAAAATTAGCTTCAAACACGTGCAGAGAGTGGAAAGCAATACATGGTAGTTTGGAACAAGAACGTCCCTTTAAAGGTTGCAGCATTTGTATGGAAAGCTTTACAAAACAGAATTCTAACAAAACCAAATTTGTTAAAAAGAGGGGTGCAGTTGCAGGATAATGCCATCTCTTGTGCTTTTTGTAGATAGGCAGCAGAAAGTGTGAAGCATCTACTGTTTGTATGCAAATCTTCGTGGTTGCTTTGGACTCTGTGCTATAGCTCGTGGGACATTGAAGTGGCAGTACAGAATGTAGGCTGGAACCATCTCTTACAGCACACTGGAATCTTTGCCAGGGGACAAGTCAAGAGGAAGCATGGATTGTTGTCTGGTTTGCAACGGTGTGGTCATTATGGTTATGGCAAAACCAAATAATCTTTCAAGAAGATACTGGCTTAGAGGACAAGATCATTGGGCTAATTAAATCCAGTTCCTTTTTTTAGGTAAGAACCATGTTTGCCGTTAGTTAAATTGTGAACTATGGTTTAAGACACGGCCAGTGTCATGCAGACCGAAACAGAGTTGATCTGATAGGTGTTTTATCCTTTGCAATTGCTGGATTATAGTGGATGATATTGGTGTTTTTAAAAGTAGTTTTAAAAGGAGGTTGTTGTGCACTTTGTAAGTTTAATTTTGTGTAGATTGGATTTGAACTGCCCTTTATACTCTCTTATAATAAAATACTTTTATTTCGAAAATGGAAAAAAAAATTAAAAAATTAAAAAATTAATTTTTTTTTTTTTAAAAAAAAGACCTTGCCTTTCCCTTACGCTTCCTCTAACTGTTATGGATATTTGGTTTTAAGTATGATAACACAGCACCTTCCATTCAATCAATTATTCCTTCTTCATATTAGAATCGTAATGCAAAATTATTTTACCACTTAGATGATAGTATCTCAAAATACAACTAAGAAAGGATGAGAGAGGTTCATGGAGAAGAGGGTACGCAACGTGGTAGTGGATAACCTTTGTGCTTCACTAGAATGAAATTTGATCTAGTTTTCTCTTTGTCATGTTTGTAGATAGCAATGGTACAACCCACAAAGTTCTCCTCTTTCCAGTTGCCTTAAAGTTCAAAAATTTTGAAGTGGAATTGCACCAATACAAAACCAACACCTCCCGTGAATCAAACAGTGTCAAGGTAATATGCTTGGAATATTACAACTTTATCGCAATTATGTGTTTAATTAGTTCACCTGCAGATATGAACTTCCATAAGTGGGAATATGTGGTTTGCCACATCAGTTTTATTGAAGACTTGTCATTCTCCACCATAAAAGAGATGGAAAAAATAGTATGGCACTCAGCCTTTCGGCTTTCATAATGTTGAAGAGCCATTCCCCACTATACTTTATTGGACAAATACAATTGGCTTGTAATTTTTTGTCTGCATGACCAACCTCAGTAACAAACAACAAAGTCTTTTCCTCCCACTTTTGCTTCATCACTCTGTTTCCTTTCTGATGCCCTGTTTTCTTCAAACTATTGAATAGTTGCAGATATATTGTTATTTTTTACACGCAATTTTCTTTGTGGAAACACATGCAGTACGCACCTGATAGATTGCAATCTTTCTTTTGTTGCCTTTTTGCGTTCTCTATTAGAATCACTTCAGCTATTTAAGCTTTGCTTTGAATCAAAACCTTGCACAATCTCCACACCTGAAAGGGGTTTCCATGGGGACATTTGTAGGACACTTGGTTCCGGGTCTGGTACTTACCGTCCTTGGCCTATGGCACACTGTTAACACTGTAAGAGCCTACTGCCTCAAAGGCTCTTCAAAATTTACAGCAAGGTTTTGGTACCCTTTCCATTGTCGTGTTTGTGTGCTTAAACATCTGGAGCTCATTATCATCCTGTCCTTTTCCCTCTTTGCAATCTTCATGCAAGTTTTTGACTTGCCTTTCCTTCGCTTTGCTTTCAAGCTCGATGGTTTTGAGCACGCTGCTATTTTTCTTCATCTTGGCATATTTGCAGGCTTCACTCTTGCTGCTGAATTAACTAATTCATCCGGGATTCTATGTGGGGTATCAGGTATCCTTGCCACATCTGTTTTCAGTCAGGAGCTTTTCTTGCTTCATTTCCACTCAGCTGATCATGTTGGACTGGAAGGCCATTACCATTGGCTGCTTCAGCTCATAGTGGTTGTTTCTCTCATAGGTGCCATAGCAGCAACTTGTTTCCCAACCAGCTTTTCTGCTGCTCTTGTTCTTCCAATTTCGGTTGTGTTCCAGGGTTGCTGGTTTATGAACATGGGGTTCATGTTATGGGTTCCCAAGTTTGTTCCAGAGGGATGTTTTACACAATTAGATGAAGGCAGCAGCAGCATCCATGGAGCAGTCACCTGTGAGTCAGCTGAGGCAGATTTGAGTGCCAAGGCACTGGCAAACTTGCAATTCAGTTGGATACTTGCTGCAATCTTGATGTTCACGGGATTTGCATGCCTGAAATTTGCTGGAAAATGCACTTCTGGTGGACAGTCGACTGAGTATGAGCAACTTCACGTTAGAAGTGCAGATGTTGCTATAAATGTTGATAGACTCAAGAGTGCTGATCCTTGAATTACTTTGGATTATCTGGTTCTTGGTATTACAAAGCTGGCATACATAAGATGCCCTTGTATTAAATATTCAAATGTTCTTCAGGATTGTGGGTCATCCCAAGTGAATCAAAATCTTAAGGCAGTAATACTGAATTATGAATAGTTTTGGGAACAATTTTAGTTCAGAAATCAATCATTTCTTATTTGGTGAAGAATGGAAAGCAATCGAGTTCTAAATAGAGGAAGAATTAAACATAATTACATATTTTCTGAAGAACAACAATATAAACCAACTTAAGTACTTAAATTCTCTCACTCAGCTTCCTCCAACGTTGCTTCAAGTCGAAGAAGAGCAAACCCCACTGCAACTCCAACAAGAACAAGGCCGTTCATGATTGCTGCAATCCTGAATATCTCGCCGGCTACGCTGCATGTTGAAGTGAGAGCACCACCTCCCCTTCTGCCTTTGGATGGAGCTTTCAGTGACCTGACAACCTTTGCAAAGCACTGATGGGTGCACACAGGTAACCCAAGTGATGCCAGATTGTTGCGAGCTTTAAGGCCAACAAAGGAATTGACTCCGGAAATGCAATGCACTTTGATGCTCCTACGCCGGGGGTTGGCAACAGTTGCAGCGGCAAATATGGCTGAAGAAAGTGTAGCTGAGGCAGTTGCCATTGACATGAACCCTCAAAACCTGGTGTAATCAACAAACAGAGAGAATTACAAAGACAATGAGAAGGAAGAAAATGGGACTTTGTAGGAGGGGCCAGAGGATGGATAAGGTGGGGAGAAACGGATGGTTGATAGACAGAGTAGATGAGCCCTTTTTGGTACAGGGAAGGATTTTGAACCTTAAAATTCCGGCCAAGAAAAGTAGAGGACAATAAACTCCCAATTGAGATCATAGACACTTAATTCAAACCATTATCATAAACTTTCAACTTCCATTGTTAGTGTATCTGTAAGAAATGACCAAATTTATGTTGGGATCGGAAGAGCATATTATATACTTGAAAAACTTCTACGTTTTGATTAAGTAGTACTTAGCCAACCATCAATTCTGAAATCAACAATTTGGGAACCAACCATTCATCGATTGACTAAGACACTAATGATGCAGAAACCCAACAATATCCAGTGTACTCAAAATAAAAAGCATGTAGAACTTGCTGTTACAGAGAATTTAGACTCAAGTTTGCAAAATTGTGGTACAAAGTTTATCTTCCACGGATGATGTGAACCTTAATGACACGCACGTTTTTGACTCTTCCTTCCCTTGGTAGCAGAATTTCACATACACATCTATCATGTTCATCCATAAAATTATGTTCAGTGACAGCTCTCCATCCACTTATGACTGTTCTACCATCCTTCCACTTTTTCACTTTTCCAGGCCATGACCTTCCGATTGGGTCAAGAAATGAAATTTCCTCCTCTAGCTTCAGATTGAAATCTTTTATAAGCTTGGTTTTAATAAACTGCAAGTCAATATAGAGAACGTCAGATCACAGAATTCACACATGGATGGATAAATACAAAAGCATGGGATATTTTAAAGACTATAGATTTAGATATAACATTACTTACCAATTCATTCCTCCGCCCTGGTGCAAATTCTACTACGAAGGTTGGATTTTTTGCTTGAACAAAACTTCTTAGTTCCACCTCTTCTTCCTCATCCTCCTCTTTCCCGAGCATATCATGCTCGCTTTCTTCTAACTCATCATCAGCATTATCATCTCCAAAATCACTTTCTTCTTCTTCCTCCTCTGTGTAACTGACATTTTTATAACCATGTCCATCACCAGTTTCTTCTTCCATACTCATGGAAACATCCCCCACCTCCTCCAGCCTCACTTTGTTTTTCACACAATCAGTTCTTGTGCTCTCCTCACACCCACTTTTTCCAAATATTTTAAAATCAAACAACGAATTTTTAACATACCTAAAAGTCAAGAAATCTCCAAACTCTAGGGAGAGATCTTTAACAAATTTCTTCCAACCCCCATGAAAATAAGCACGACTGCAATCTGTGTTGACCTTAACCTGCCAAATTTTACCGGTTTGACTTCTAAGGATTGCTTTTTCAAGCACCACTCCTGCTGCTACTAGACATGTGACAAAAGCATCTGGGATGTGCTACAGAAAAATATAGCAATATGCAATCATCAAATAGTTAATAAAAAAAAAAAAGGGCAAGTATTTGAAACAACCTTCACATTTCCTTTTATATCTTAATCAAAACCAAGGTTTAGTGAATTCTAACATCTTTCTTTAAAGAGAAAAACAATGTTCTGTTTTATCAAATCATCAAATGCATGAAAATTTTTAGAATTGAGTTTGATCATGCAACTTTTTATCCGTAAGGACCATAACTGCCCCCCCCAAAATCTTAAAAAATAAAAAATAACCTTTATATCTAGAAGACTGTAACAACCACATAGCCACTATCTAAAACAATCACTTTTTCAAAAAATTGGCAATGGTTGAATGTTTTACTCTTAGATAGCCTCTAAAAACACTAATGCTTCAATTTTATCATCTTGAAGCTAAAATACATCATGAAACAACTAAAACCCAAAATGACAATTCCATCTTTACCAGCCTCCATTTTCCTCGAAACATATTGAAAGCTCAGATGAAGAGAACAGATGTTTTACCAATCTTTCAGAGCTATGTTCTGGAACATAGACCTTGAAGAAATCAGGGAACTTCTTGGTCCTTACATTTACCATTTTCTTAATGGATGCCACTGATAATCTGTTATAAAGAAACCAGGACAGAATGTCAGTAAACTTCAGCAAAATCTCTCAACAAAAAAATGTTGTGCAACCCAGATTGTTCCAGACTGCACAACATTAATCATTGGATGGGGGTGAGCCCCCTGACATTGGGGGCTCCCTTCCCCATCCAATGGTGTTCCTGTTTTACAGTCCACGCACTCTAGACTGTAAACCAGGGAACTCATCTCTCAAACATTATACTACAAATTTCAAATTGCCACTCTCACAGTATACTGAAGTTGTACAGGGCTTAAGGTTTTGGCAATCTTGGGTTTATGATACATCCCAGACCTTCAACCTTAGCCCAAAGGTCAGGTTTGAGCTATAACTTTTAGATGAACTCCATTTTAAATAGTTGCAGACATACTTCTTGGAGGAAAGATAACTCTAGGTCTCTTTTAGGAAGCTTTTGAAAACCAGTTCATAATAAATAAGCCTTAAACTTCTGTAAAATATGATCTTTAAGTAAAAAAACAGTTAAGGATAACTTTAAATAAACAGATAACTAAAGCTTTAAGGAACAGTTAATCATCTTCGTAGAAAACTAAGGAGCTTAGGTTTCAATTTAAAAACACATACTTTGAATATTTACACAAGTCTTTGAGCAGTCCATGTATATGCTTACTTAAATAACAAACTCTATCATAATAAACTAGATTAAGAATCAGCTCTTAAGTTTACTTGATGCCCCATTTGGTAAACAAAACATGTTCTAATAATGTGAAGTTCTTTAACAAAACATTGAGCCAGGTTTCAGCTTTGGGCAGATACAAGTTACCTCAACAAGCTAGGAAAGCTTGTTCACCACCAGCAACCATAGGAAACTCTTAGTCTCCCAGAAATTGTTAATCTCTTCACTAGCTAACCTAAAACAGGGTGAACAATACACCATGGCCTATGAAGCCCAAAAAGCCTAGGTTACAACTAAAGAGCCATAGCTGAATTCTTAAATTAACTTAACAAGTTCCATCACTTAACTTATAGTTCTTCAATATAAAACTTATGTCAAGATACAAGAATTAGGCATAGGTTTATCATCATCTTGTAAATAATCCACATTCTCTAAATTAGAGCTATCTAATTTAGGACAGGTAAGTTCGCACATGCTTACTTGATCTCCATTCTAGAACAAACCAGAAAAATATGTTCTTTTACCTCAGGAAGCACAGAATCAGTTCCATCAAACACTGCTCAGCAATACTGAATAGTTTCATCAGTGTCATAAATAAACATGACATAAATACTTCCAAGAATCATAGGATAATAGCAAGGCAGCCATATGAATAATGCAAGTTCTTATCTATGGATTTTTCCTTGTGAGTGTACATCCTGCCATATCTTTCTTCACACTCCCAGTCCAACTAGGTTCTACCTAGCTCAGGTATCTTTTTAGATATCATCTTTCTTCACTACAAATACGTTAGGAGCATCATTCTTTTACTCCAAGTAACTTTAGGAGCATCATCGTTTTTTACTCCAGGTAACTTTAGGAGTATTTTACCTAGCCATTAACTTAGGTATGATACCATAGATTCTATGCAGCATATAAAATGATCATTCATATGTCATAAATCAATTCTCATTCTTTAACTCATATAAACATATATCCAAGCAGCTTGTGCTGTACTACTATAATTGCATAACTCATCTTAGCTTAATACTTTCATAAACATTCGTAAGTATTGTTTGGAAAATTCTTTACAGTAGGCATTGCACATCCTATAAACAACACTTTATGCACTGTCATGCTTGTCCTTAAGTTATAGCAAGACAAGTTATTATTAAATCACAGCAAGATAGCACAGTAGCTTGCATCAATTATAGCTCTCAAAAGCCATATCTGCATGTCAAACATGTAGTCCCAACTTTAATTTAGCACTGATTTATAGCCTAAACATTGCTAAACAATTAAATTCAACTCGCATATTAACTACCTTTCATAGTTAATAGATTCTTAGAACTTCAAGCTTAATTCACAAATATAACAAATCATATATGGCTTGGACATTCCTCTTAATGTCTAGAGTACAAATATGAGGCTTCAACTTATTTTTTTAGTACTCTTTTGGTCCCTCCATTAACTTTTCATTGACATTGGCATGTTGAGTAACCGAACTTACTTTTTTTTTTGGGGTGGGGGGTGGGGGGAGAGAGGGCATAATCGATATGGAAAATACAAGATCTAAAAAAATGATGATGTGATTAATTTTAAGTACATTTGGACCTCGAAGCTTGTTTAATTATACAATTGTCGTAATTAATTTTAATTATAATTAATTAAATTAGAATAAAATTACTGATTTGCCCTTGCCTCTTCCTCTCCTCTTCTATCAAAAAGCATCCATCATGAGAACCCAAGATGTATATTTAAATAAATAAAAAAAAAAAGCACCTAAAAGATCTAGATTCATGGGTTCTCCAGAACCAAGTCAGTTCCCTTTGCTCGTATAAAAGATCGAAATCCATCAATTAGATGTGGGTTTGTGGGTGTAGAAAACCCAATCGGAGAACCCAAATCGGCACTTCAGCACCTCCAAACAAAAAACTCTACCATTCTTCCTCATTTCTTCCGCCGCCAACCTCACTCTCCTGCAAACTCTCAAGCATTCTCATTCTCTCCATTTTCTTCCATCTAATCAGAAATTTCTCATCCTTTTCTTCTCTAGCCAAAAACCCAGATTGCATCAAGAGAAGTGAACACGAATCAATTTTAGCCTTAAAAATGAAGGACCGACTGCGATAGAGATAAATCTAAAAAAAAAAAAGGAATAAGCTTTATATAATTTTTACCAGGATCACAGAAGACAAGGTCACGGAAAACAGCTTGCCGTCGATTATAGCACGCCGGAACTGTCACACCGATTATCGAACCAGGTTTGGAAGAGGTGACTGAGACTAGAGAGTTTTGAACTTTTGAGGTAAATGGGAGCTGATGCTGAACTCGAGATGCGGGTTGTTTGTGTAAGTGGCAAAAAATGGGTTTCAACACACCGCATTTGGAAAATTTTCTGGGTATCCAAACAATCCATACTTGGGTAGAAGCATGCAATTGCAGCAAATGCATTGATTCCTTTGATGTAAACATCAATACTATAATTACCATAAAGCTTTCAAATTTCCAATTGGAGAGTAAAGATAATTTCGAAAGGTGGGGTCTGCACTGCAGAATGCAAGCTAAGAAGAGAGAAGAAAACTGACTTAATGAATCGACTTGGTTGAACAGATTCAGGGTAAGCGTTCTCGGTATAGTGTGGAAATGGGTTATATTTGTTATTTAATTGGAAAA